TTCTCTTTAAATAACGCGATGAGACATACCTCATCATTCGAAGGAAACCTTCCTTTATGTCTTTCCGAAGGAGTTTTTGCAAACCTTTTTCGAGAATAAGCTGATTCTTCTTCATCTATGTCGTTTCTTATGAGATATCGGGTAAAAAGTACAAATCTAATAACAATCTCCTCATTTTTTGCGCCTGCATCGTTTCTCTCTTCTATTTCGGCGTCTGCGCTCTTATCACTAACCTGGCCGCCCTGCCATTTATTGCTATTCATCTCATCCATGTGTTCTTCAGCAGCTGTTGTTTCATCGAGTAAAGTCGTAGAATCCATATCGAACTCATACCTGGTTATGGGCTCGTAATAATTAATATCGTATAGAATATACATCTTTTGATACAGCTGCAACGGTTGAACAGTTGTGAGACAATAACAACGAGAAGTGATTTGCTTTTTTGCTTTTTATTAACCTGACCGGTTTCGAATTCTTCTTCAGAGGTTAACAAAAAACTGTATGAAATGAATAGGAAGGTCTCTTCTTTTATATACACAAAAAATTTTTTATACATAGATAAAAAATGATGTAATTGAATAGAATGTCTTTCGATGTTCTGGTGATTGATCGTTCTGCGCATGATAGAATGTACACTTGTTTTTATTCTATTGATATGCATCTGTTATTTGCTCTTTTACTTGCCTAAGTACTTTTTGCCTAAAAAATGTCCGTATATTCCGGTCATGGAGTCAACTGTTAATATTCATGATTTTAAGGTGCAACCTGTCCTGGCTGCCGTTGTTGTCTTGCCGGTTCCGGTTGTCGCACCGACTCCGTTCGTCTGAGATGGTATTGGACATTCATCAATATGGACTTTAAGATTATTTGCGTCTTTTATAGTAGTACATCGCTCACATTTTCGGAAATAAAGATTTAATGCACATTCACATTTAAGTTCATAGGCTTTTTTCATGAGTTGTTCATATTTTTCTTTTCCATTATCCACTTCTTCGATTTTGTCTTTTTTATCTTGTTCAACTTGATCTTGAATTTCTTGCAAAGCTTCATTCATTTCGGATGATTGATCAGCAAAATAAATACCAAAAGTGTTTTTCGCCTCGATATTACTTAACAGATCGGGGTATGATTTATCGTTGAATTTTCGAAAATAATCATATAAATCTCGAGCTCGAATCATATCGTCTCGATTGGGTAAGACTAAAAATTCGAATAGATCAAGAAGATAAGGAATTCGGATAGCATGCAATTTCAATCGTTCGAATCTATTATCTTCACATGATTTTTCATGCATTAAACGAATTATTGTTAATGATGTTAGACTAAATCGACTGTAGCCAATCGGATCTGTCGATTTATTTTCTGAATAATAAAATTTCACAGCTGTATGTTGATAATCTTTAAGCCAAATACACGACCATAAACACTAAGAAAACGAGACCATCTATTTAATTTAATTGTAAATGAACATCGCCACGTTCCGTATCTCTTTATTTGTCTCATTTTCTTTCTCCACACACAAATCTAATCAATCAATAATATGTAGGACAGTATTAATTATTTCATCATATAAAGATATGTGCATATAAAACGTCATACAATAACAATCGTTTTAACAAATGTTAACAGTGGTTAGTTTTACCTCGTTGTTCGAGCATCTAAAACAGCTTTTCACAATAAAATAGAATTTTCGTAAATAATCGTTTTTCCAATTGACAATATTGTTTTTCATTTTTCTTCATCCGGTTCAAATTGTTCCAATCATTTGATCAACTGCTGATTTAACGAATGTGAACAACAACGAATTGATGATTGATTAACTCAAATCAACTACAAAAAATTAATTATCCATGCTAATTGTAAATTTTTATTCATACCTATTCATACTAAAGTTTGAAACAACTTGGTTTTGTTGATTGGCAATTATCATTTTGATAACACATTGTACATGTTGTCGTCTTTGATTTTGGTTGATAATGTGGATAATCATCAATTGTCATTACACCCTAGTCATCGGTTCTTATATAAGAATCAGATACGAAACTTGTAAGAAGCATGTAAGAATCTTATAAGCATCTTATAAGAATCTTGTAAGAATCTTACTCAATTCTTATATAAGATCTTCCACGAAAGTGACTAGAATTCTGCTGAATCTTATAAGAATCGCACAAGAATTCATAAGAAATTGGTAAGAGTCAGCAAAATTCGTACGTTATTCTTATCAGTTTCTTGTAAGATTCTTGTAAGATTCTTATAAGATTTTCGTAAGATTCTTGTACCCTAGTCGTCGGTTCTTATATAAGAATCTTACTCAATTCTTATATAAGATCTTCCACGAAAGTGACAAGAATTTTGCTGAATCTTATAAGAATTTCACAAGAATTCATAAGAAATTGGTAAGAATCAGCAAAACTCGTACGTTATTCTTATAAGATTCTGATAAGAATTCGGTAAGATAGATTATATAATTATTTTATAAGAATTCATAAGATTCTGACAAAAATCTCATAGGAAGGATATAGTACAATATAGTACAGTTTACGTGGACAGTCTGTCTCATGACTTGTACTCACTGTCTACTGCTTGTAGACCGAATTTACTTCTACAAATCTATCATGACTATAGGAAGAAAATGAAGTTCGAAAATTAATAATATGTGAGATGAGAATGCAGTGCACGATATGTTGCTCGTTTACATAAATCCCGCTTTTTATCAGAATCTTAACTTAGTTGTTGAAGTTCTTTTATGATTGCTTCTGGTGCTTTATTAAGTACTTCTAGTGCTATTATTAAATATGCGAAGCTGCCCCCAGCTATTAGGCGTATTTGTCGATAACAAAGAAAATCTACTTTTTGATGTGCTTGATTTAAAACATGATGTCAATTTTACATTGAATCTCTCGAATACGAATAATGTTGAGAAAGCAAGTGTTCAATGTAAATGTGGTGTTAAAATAAATTTAGGAAAAAATGCTGATAAACTTTAAATGTCAAATTATTACAAACACTTGAAAGATTCGAAATGTGCAAATATGAAACATTAAAAAGATGACTAACAAAAACAAAGTCAACAACAACACCATCACAGGCACCACAGGCTCAAAACATAGAAACTCCTTCTGTTCCCTTCTCTTCTTCTACGTCATCAGCCGCTGGAGATGTAAAACGATTTAGTGATTCTCCAAGCTCGCAAAAAAAGCAAAGAAAAGCAAATAGTAATATTTTGTGTATGTTTTGGTGTTTTTTCTTGAGTGAGTGTATATACATGTAAAAAGTCTTGTGTTAAACAAATGAAGTATCTACTCCGTTTTTAATAGTTATGCTGTGTTTTTGTTACTCAGGATTTTCTATTTATATATGAGTAACTATGGTGAAAATATATTGTATGCAACTGGAGATAGACTAGCTTCTTTAAGTCGAAAAGTCAAGCTCTATGCTTTTAAAAATGTACAAGAATATGACTACGAGAGTGATTGCTTATTTTCTATTTGACTATTGGGTTTGTGATATCGCTATGTACTTGTAGAGTTTAGAAGTATGGAGAAGCACGAAGTATGATGTTTTCCCCTTGTATGTAGAGTTCACTTTCTCGTCCGAACGGAATTCGTAGACGATTCGATCCGACCGCAAATACTTAAGAAGAGAGGATTTCATTGATGTCCTGTGTTTCATGAATGAGACTTATAATGAATTGGATACGTGATTTTGAACTCATGAAGGAAAAGATACATTAATCATGATTATTGGAGATATTTGGTGTTGTTCTCAAGAAGCTAACCAGAATATGTTTTCGATGCACACGTTTTATTTTAATTGAAAATTATGAGCGAACAGAAAAAAGAAATAGCAAGAATAGTTGGGAAGAGCAAAGAATGGTTGAGAGGAGCAAAAAAAATTGAGAAAAAGAGAGGAGAAAACTAACTAGATAAAAATTTCAGGAGAGAAAACGGTAGACAATGTTCGATGGTATTTGATGAGAACATTCGATTTTGGTGCGTGTGTGTTTGCGTCATAGTTCCTACAAAGGAAAAATATTGAATTAATTTAGTACCATAAAATACTCGGAATGATAACCTCAAAGAAGAATGTACGAATAATGGAATAAAATATCAAAGACATTCTCTCGATGGGTAATCATCGAGATACTATTGACACAACCTACCTAGCTTATTTAACACTCTTATGTTTTTATTTAGATATTAGCTTGTTTTCTTTGCTTGTTTTATGATTAACCAGTAACGAGGCTTCGACTTTTTTGTTGCTCACAACGAGAAAGCCAGATGGAACATCGAACAGAATTCGATCATTTTCTTTTCTTGAATGGTCCAAAACAAAATTGATCATTTCGTCCTGCATCGAAGACGGCAACAGGTCAGTGATCGTTTGGATGAAAAATGTGATAATATCTTTGGAAACTTTCTTCTTCACCAATGCGTCTGATGATTTAAAGTCTGTGACATCAACGGCGCTTCCAAGTTCGAAGATGTCGAATTTAAAATGGTTATCGTCTATCGTTGACAATTGTTGATAAAGACTTTCGATCGTTACCGTATGATCCGCAAGAGGCTTTTCTAACCAAATTAATTTTTTGTTGAAATGCTCGACAAACTGCAAAACACCAATCGAAGTCTGATGATAAACCAACAAATGACCTGTTGGCGACAGCAGATTAGCAGCATGGCGCAGGTTGGACACTGGATCGGGCATCAGATAGAGACAATGCGTTAGAAGAATGATATCAAATGAAGAAGAAGACTTGAACGAAGGAGTGAAGTACTCTTTGTGAAGAGTGACTGGAGCATTACAAAAAGATTCAGGATCGAGAGAAGAAAGGGCAGCAAAGTGTGCTTCATTGGGTTCGATGGCAGTATAATGACGGATGGTAATGTCTCCTTTTGACAATTCACCGATGAAAAGAGAATCAAAAAAGCCAGTTCCAGCGCCAATGCTCAAGATTGACACTATAAATAGCAACACAAAAAACGAACAAAAGTGAACAAAGATGACATTGTCAATATGCATAATTACCAGAAGACTGAGAAGACCCAAGCAAATATTTCTCCACAAAGTGACAGGAGTGTTTGACCATAGCATCATATTCCGAACTGCGGTTCGCAAAAGAAGAATAACAATCTGCATATTCTGCTTCGCTCAGTGCATTCACAGATATCATCTATATAATAATTATACTTTTTCAGGCTTCGATTTTTTACTATTCTTTTTCGGAATTATGAAACTTTGCGCATGTACTAACATTTGTCATTTGTGTTTGCATATATCACCCTGGAAAAAATAGTTAGACCCGATATTTTTAACCTATCATTACTATAAATCAACATTTTGAGAAAAGTCATTATATATTCAGATAGCGCGCGGAATTCTCTACAATCCTATATATGTATGTTTTGAATTGCACATGTTCGCTAAAAGTAAATTCAATCACAGCGAAGGTACCCTCTTCGTCAGATTCCCCGGAAACGCATTTTCCAAAGTTATTTTAAATATAGGAATAAGTTATTACAAAAGTAAGTTTATATTCTGAAAGCGTGGGAAATTCTCTATCATCCTGCACTGTTGCCAGTCTTGACTTGCAATTGATACTTATTTCAAGTATTGTTAATGAATCCTCACTCTCACATCTCCCTTAATTACTCCATATGAACTCATACAGCAGCTCATGAATTATTATTCTGAAATCACATATGATAAATGGATAATTATATACCTATCAGTCCTGGTATCAATGCTATT